ATTATTATTAATCATTAATTATTATGTGTGTGCCATCAAATCAGATCTGACTGGTACAGGAGGAGCTTGTCCCTCTTTCTTCAGCAGAGCATCTGGTAGAGTCGAACTGCTCACCTTTGGGATTGAAATACAGCTTCTTGCCACTAGGCCACCAGAGCTCGCCCAATTACCTTTTACGTATATTAAAAAGAGATACAAATTATTTTGTCCTATCTTCATTATTCAGTCTTTGAAAATACGTTCCTTTTAAAAAATATACTATAGTGTAGTTGTGAGGCTGAACACTGTGACACTGATGTGTCAAATGCATTAATACTTGGCTACCCCATGCGGACAGAGAGTGAAGTGGAGCTCCTGGATTAAAACAAGCTTGGAAGGAGGAGTGGCATCCATTTCCATAGTAGCTTTCCCCCCGGAAACCCTATGAACCTGGAGAGAGGATGAAAGGCACCCAAGCGTCGAGGACTCTCCTTCATAGGGTTGCTATGAGTCGCCTGCAACTTGAAAGCACTTAACAACAACAACATAGTGTAGTAGGTGAAAGTTTGCATAGCAATTGAGATTCTCATTTAACAATGTCTGCAGCGGCGGCGAGCAGGGCCGGCGGCGGTGGGACGGTGGGTGAGCAGCCGGCGGCGCCATGGAGGAGGACAACGGCTACGGTCTCCTTTTCCTGTGAATTTGTTTTCTAAGTAGATTTCCTGGCTTGGAAGAGACTGCAGAACAGCCAACACAAATATTTCTTCTGTGACTTTGGGCATAAAAATCACTGTCAGGTGGAATCGGCCTGCAGACAACTGAACCTTGCAGTACTGCTCGACTGATCAACTTCAACCACGAGGAAATGTCGTTTCGATTTGGTCAGCATCTCATCAAGCCCTCTGTGGTGTTTCTCAAGACTGAACTATCCTTTGCCCTGGTCAATAGGAAGCCTGTAGTGCCAGGACATGTCCTCGTGTGTCCGCTGTGGCCGGTGGAGCGTTTCCGTGACCTGCGCCCCGATGAAGTGGCCGACCTGTTTCAGACGACCCAGAGAGTCGGTGTGGCCGTGGAGCGCCATTTCCAGGGGACCTCGCTCACCTTTGCCATGCAGGATGGCCCTGAAGCCGGACAGACTGTGAAGCATGTCCATGTCCACGTTCTTCCCAGGAAGGCCGGAGACTTTAGCAGGAATGACAGAATCTATGACGAGCTCCAGAAACATGACAAAGAAGAGGGTTCTCCAGCCGCTTGGAGATCAGAGGAGGAAATGGCAGCAGAAGCTGAGGCACTGCGTGTCTACTTCATATGACCCAGGAGTGGAGGCAGTGCAGGCAAAGGCGTGTGGAAACGGGCCTCGTTCTTGAAGACTCTGAGGTGTGGGAAGTGAAGCGCGCAGACTTTACTATTGCCTAGAATTCCGCATCCTTTTTCGAGGCATTTTATTACACTTGTGGAAATCATCAGAGCTGGGTTTCAATCCCAGTGACTGACAGGCTAACGTCAAAACAGCAACATCAGCCACCTTTCCCACCCTCTCTACCTATGTACTTAGAATAGAAGCTTTCCTAAATTGTCCTTTGGCCTGGATGGAAATAAAATCATAGTTAAAAATAAAAAATAAATCACTTTCAAAGAGAAAAAAAAATGTCTACACAAATTGTTCTGTGATACTGATACAGTTTTCACAATGTATCAACAACATTCTCATTCCTTTCTCTCCGTTCTACTTACTTTGTCCCAGCTTCCTGCCTCTCCTTACTTTCTCACCTTTGCTCTCAGGTGTACACTGATTATTTGATCGTTGATTGTTTACTGGAGTACATTGTGCATAGGTTGCTGTTATGTGCTGTGGAGTTGGCTATGACTCATAGCAATAATATGAACTGAATTTTTACCCTTACCTAAGCTAACCTCACCATCTCTGACACAGCTGACCCTATTGCCACAGTCACTTTGTCAATCCATTTCATCCAGGCTCTTCCCCTCATGCACTGTTTACCTTTCCAAGAATGATGTCCTTCTCCAAGGATGGGTCTCTCCTGGCAACATGCCTAAAGTATGTGAGAGTTTCAAAATCCCTATCTCCAACGAGCAACTTGGTTTCATCCTCTCGAGGTCAGACCTGTTCATTGTCTTTGTGGTCCATGGTATGTTCAATACTCTTCTCCAGCACCACAGCTCAAAGACATCAATTTTTCTTCCATCATACTCATAGGTGATCTTGTTTTTGTTTTTTTTAAGCCAGTTTATTCTTTAAGTAAAGGTGATCTCTGGAGCTGGCTTTAGTTCCAAGTTTAAAGGGTATTTTAGGGTGATAGTCTTGGAAACGTCTCTGTTATTTATTGGTTCAGTAAATCTGGCCTTTTTTTTAGTAATTGGAATTTAGTTCTACATTTTTTTCCATTCTATCTAGGGACTTCAATTGTGTCCCTGGTCAGAATGGTTGATAATGGTACCTGGGCACCATTTACTTCTCTTCTCAGATAGAAGAGGCTGTGGATCACATGGGCTGTTAGTTCTGTGAACAAGTCTATTCATGACGTCTTTGGTTTCTTCTCTTTCTGTTGTTACGTAGAGATAACTGTGATACGTAATGACCCTGTGCACAGTAACTCTGAACCCTGCTCTATACTGAGCCAATCTCATCTCTGATAGACCTAATCCCATCACCCCAGTCACTGACTTAATCCATTTCATCCTGGATCTTCCTCTCCTGTGCTGTGCCTCTACCCTTCCAAGCATGATGTCCTTCTCCAAGGACTGGTTCCTCCTGGCCATGTGTCCAAAGTATATGAGATGGAGCTTCCAAATCCTTGCCTCCAGGAAGCAGCCCTGTTTCACCCTCTCTAGGACAGGCCTGTTTTCTTGGCAGTCCACAGTATGTTCAACACCCTTCTCCAGCACCAAAACTCAAAGGCATTGATTCTTCTTCTATCATCCTTAGTTATTGTCCAGCTCTCTGACACATAACAAGTAACTGTGAAGACCATGACCCATATCAGGAACACCTTAACCTCCAGACTGACATTGTTGCTCTTCAGTACTCTAGAGGGTCCCTTGACAGCAGACTTTCCCAATGCAATTCATCTTTTTCTTTTCTAATTGCTGGTCAATTGGCAGCTTTGTGATAGATGGAGAAGAGATTGAGTTTGTTAATAACTTCAGATTGTTCAGTCCCACAGTCAATTCTCTTGGCACCAGCAGTCAGGAAATCAAAAGACAAATTGTGAATTTTCAACATAGCCTCATAAAATCAAAGACTTGACTAAGAAGTGTATTTCTATAGGTTGCCTTTCAATTAATCCCATTCTTGACTAGATGCCCTTAGTAAAACCAGTTAAAAAGAAAGATATTCCTAAATGATTTGGCAACATTATTCCAAGGGTTTCTGAACTTGTTACAAATGTCATGAAATAAAGGAGCAAATTCTTCTCACTTGCTAGTCCCTTTCTTTTTCTTCCATTCATCTCCTCTCCTCCCTCACTCTTGCAAAAACTAGTTGTTGGCTGGTGCTCTTTCCAGAAGGGTGTGGGGGTTGTAGTCAGTCCCACCTGAACCTCCCCGAGTAAGTGAGATTGTTTAAAAATGGAGAAAGACATTTCCCGAAGGAAGGAACACACAGGAGGCCCGAGCCAAGCTCACTTTCTGTGCCCAGGTCACATCCCAATCTTCCTCTATGTCTCACACTTGTTCAGGCTCATTCTTTATTTCAGTCCCAACTTCAGCTGGGATGGCTGGGCAAGGCCCAGAGGCCTCCAAGAAGAATTGAGACTAGGGCTGGAGCATGACTGCTGCCCCCTTCCATTGTTTATAACCAGGCAGAATCGGGTGAAATGAGCAAAAAAGGCAGTTTGGGACACGGCAGGCAGAGTGGAGGTGAAGCCAGGTCAGGACCATCACTGCCCAAGAAGTGAGGGCAATTTAAATGACCAGCCTGCCTTCCTCATATAACAAGAATCATGGGAACACTGATTACACTTATCTGTTACAGGTTTAGTCTACTAGATAAGAAAGTCACCGCCTTTCCCCATTCCATCCTCATAAAACCCAAAACTTGTCACTTGCTTCACATGACCCTGGCAAGTCCTTCCTCCGCTGCTGATCAGAACACCTTACTAAAATCCCACGGCTGGTTCTAACTGGAGGCTGACCCTAGAAAGGCTGTGTTTTCTCCTTGAGGACAGGGATCTTGGCTCTCAGCCACAGCCCTTGCTATGCCATAGCTCTCTCCAAAGAACTAGTCCTATAATTTGGGGGAAGAATTGATCAGACCCTTTGGTTCACACACATAAATGATCCTAAAGCCTCGTGTAATGTCCTTTTCTTCGGTCACTTGTATTGTGCTGGAGACATAGCCCTTCATAGTCACCATATGTCTTCTATGCCATGTGTCAAACAAGCTCCTACCCAAGGGTAAGACCGTGGGAACCATGCATAGATTAAATTCTTCTGTTGTCCAAACAAATCTATGAGGGCAAAATGCATTTGGAGTCTTGACTCCATCTTTTTGGTCTTGTTGTGGGTTACTATAGTTCACCAGGAAAATTGTGTATTTATAAAACCTCCAGATCCACAGACCTTGGGGCGTCTGTGTTTCTTGGCTTCCTTACAGCTTCTTTGTGGCCATGATAGGTTTGGTAATCACACACTGGGTTGCACAACTATTATTACTCCCAGAAGAATAACACAGCAAAGAAAAATAGAACCTGTGTTTGTGTTTCCTGTTTCAGATAAATGGTTCCATCTGAGGAGAAGCACAAATGCTATTTACCTATGAGTGTGGTCTTCTCTGGGAACCGAGGCCCAGGACCTGCAGCATTTCATTTCAGAACAGGAGCATCTGTTCACTAGATTCTCCCCAGGACCACAGTTCTGGCCTCTAGCCTGTCTCTCTGGTTCTCACCCCCTACCCCATGATAAACGATAATGACCAAGTATAAATGACAATGACCTGTCAAGATATTCGCTTGGAAAGAAGACACAATAGGATAAACATTAGCTGACTCTAAAATAGCAGTTGAGAGGAAATGATAAACTCTGCAATCCCCTGCTGTCTCTGGGAATCTGAGTTAGGGCTAATAACATGCTGGATGTGTTGGATCACAGAACATCTCCACCAGTGACCACTCATAACAGGACTGACTCTTCTCTAGCATTATCAGTGCTGGATCCCTCAGTAGGAGTTGCTGGACTGTTGTTAGGTGCCATCAAGTAGACTACAACTCAGAGCAACCCTGGGAACAAAAGACCTGAACCTTACCCTAATCTGACCATCCTTAAAACCTCTGATATGCTAAAGCCAGTTATGAAAGACATTTCTAAATGATTTGGCAACATTATTACATTGTTGTGATTGTATAACACGGTTATGGTTTCTGTGCCAAGCCCATCTTGTTGAGAGTCTTCCTCTATCTCTGTAATGATCTGCCTTTCCAAGCATGATGTCTTTTTTAAAAAAAAAAAAACCAAACAAAAACAAAACAGGGAAAGCACGAGCACAATGCCCCACTACCACGAATGATGTCATCTACTTTCAAACCACAGGAGTCAGAACATTCAGAGTGCAATGGATAAGCCTCACTCTAGGAAATCCACCTCTGTGATCCACCTCTGCCAGGTAAGGATAATGTCTTACTCCAAGAACTAGATCCTCCTGGCAACAAGCCCAAGCTATATGAGGGGAATTTTGAGCATCCTCACCTGTAAGGATCTTAACATGTAATTTCAGCAGGAATCTAGAGGACAAGGTATCACACACAGCAGAGACAGCTGCAGAGCTGAAGGCAGCCTCCTGCTACTTAAACCTGTGACTCTGTCAGCACATCCCAGGGAGGTCCGAGGTTTGGCGGCTGTCCGGATCATCCATTTACTCCTCATTACTGTTAAGTTGAAACAGACTCACAGCTGACCCTCCATTGGGTTTCCAACGCTGTAAATTTCATGAAAGATTGTCCATTTCCCCCTGTAGAGGCCCTGGTGATCCAAACCATCAAAGAAACGTGATATTTAGGTTAACAGCCCAACTATCTACATACAGACTAAGCCACCAGAGGGACCTCTGGTAGACCAGGGGTAAGGAACTGTGTGCTGTCAACCCAAAGGCACACAGTTCAAATCCGACAGCTGCTCTGTGGGAGAAAGATGAGCAATTGACTCCCTTGCGTTTTACTGCCTCTGAAAAGAATTAAGCCATTAAACTGAACAACTCAAGCTAAAATATTTTTATATTTAGACAGTCCTATCAATTAGTAGCCTTGGCAGTCTCCAAAGCCGGTGGAATCTGAGCCTCACTTATCTAATTTCCAGATC